TTTTTCCCTGTATCAGAAATGTGTCAGTGACAAAATGTAATATAATACAGTTATTATAATTAATGGTATAAAAACACATAATATGTTAATTACAAAGGTGGATATACTTTCTATCTGAAATCTAATAGAAAACTATTGCTAAAATGCCATATGCGGCTGCGGTCTGGCCTACAAACAAATATATTAGACAAAGTATAAGAGCATAACAGCTGACTATCCAGATGAATATACATTAATGCCTGTGTCTTGCAGCAAAAGGAAATAGCTAAACAAGGCAGATTCCTTCATTTCTACTGGATATTTACTTGTAGATTAAATCCAAGCAGTGGCCAGATTATCTGATTTTAACAATGTATCTTTACATAATTGAATCATAATGGTTAAAGATCAAATGATTACAGTAACAACTGCAATAATGAATAATGTTTTAACCTTAAAAGAAAATGTAAAATTATTTTATTAAATCAGAAACTAATCGATATTTTTTTAAATTTGCAGAGTGGTATAATTAATATAATTTAATTCATATAAGTGAAGTATTCAACAGTTAAAATTTAACTGAAAGACAGGCAGAAACTTTACTTCACTTATCACCAAACATTATTTGTAATGATAAACATGTTCAGCCTGCCAGAGCTAAGGTCAGTCAATGGAAGGTAAAATAGTATTATGGATTAACCCTTCCAGGTGAATTTGGAAATTGATAACTTAGGTCACCTATTGCAAATTTGTGAAAAGATGTCAAAGATATAAATTCAATACCCATATCACTATATGTATATCTATTAAAATACAAGTGATCAAATATTTTATTTATCTGTTTTTCAAATACCAAGAAAATGTTATTTGGTTTGTGATGAGTAAAGTGGAACATTTATTTATACTTACCGTAATTTTCTTTTCCTGGCTATTATTCATGGCAGCATATACACATGGGTTAGCTCTTCCCCTACAGCCGATAGGACAGGAAAACCACCAAGGTTTTAAAAGGAGGCTCCATCCCTAAGGTCCTCAGTCAGTTTACAAGCTCTACAGTACATAAATAGAGACATTAATGGGTGGGAAGTATATGCTGCCAAGAATAATAGCCAGGAAAAGAAAATTACGGTAAGTATGAATAAATTTTCCACTTTCCTGGCTAATCATGGCAGCATATACACATGGGGAATACCCAAGCTTACAAAGGGAGGGACAGAATAGTCAATCAAATTATCAGAATAATTCAACATAGATAGAAGAATGAATGGAGTTAAGTACTTGAGTACCAAATTGTGCATCATAGACTGTTTTAACGAACAGTATGAAATGCCAGACAAACGTGTCTAAAGAGGTTCAAATGCTAGCTTACAAAAAGTGTCAGCAGAAACCATTGCCATGGCAACCCAAGATGCTGCAACAGCATGAGAGGAGAGTGCCCTGATACCCTCCAGCACAGGTAGAGAACGGACGTGACGTCCAAATCGTGCCACATTAATTGCTTCAATGTCCAATATGTAATGCAGAACAAACT